CAGTGGGTGGGAGGCTCTGAGATCCTGCCATGTGGCGAGCCCACAATTTCAGGGTTTCTGAGAAAATGAGGCTCTGAATGAAGCTGAAGTCCAGCTTCTGGCACTGCGCAGTCAATTGGGGTGAAGGTCACTAGAATTCAAGAAGTCATGAAAGTGGCTTTGAAGCCATTGGATGGTTTATCCCCGAGGGGTTAACTTCCCAGGATGATGTCAGGAGGTGAGGTGGTGAAGAAGGCCTGGGAACCAAAAGCCTGTAGGGAGGTGACCGGGATGTTGGAACTACATTTTGAGGTGACTGATCACGTTTATGGGGAGTCCAGAATCCATGCTGTGGAAGGAAGGGCTGTGAGTAGTTCTGAAAAAGAAAAGGCCTGTATCAAGCTCCCTACCTTTAATTAAGTATTGGGTGCCAGAGGGAACGCCCCTGTTCTGCAGTACTCGCAGGACACAACACTGCCAGACTGGACGTGAGCATGTGGGTTGTGATCCAAGGCAGGCTATGCTTCAGGAGAAGGGACAGCATCGAGACGCATGAACCCTCCGTTCTCTGAGACGCAGGGTGACTGCCTGTCTGGGATGCCCTACAGCAGTCCTTTCTCTTTGTCAGGTGCCACACATAGAGAAAGGTAATTGTGTGGTACAGGAGGTAGATAGAAAAGTTGTTGGCAGCAGTGGGTAGCCTGGGCTGAGAGTGCCAGCCCTGCCTGTAGCTTTGAGGGCGTGAAGAGATGGTATCTTCCCCACCTGTAATTCAGTCCCAGCACCCCATGGTGCCAAGGAACCTTGTTTGGGAAGCTCACTTCTCAAGGATGTTTTTTGCTACGACTGGAATGTACCATTCTACGTTCTTGGTGTCATTCCATCACCCCATAACACCCTCCTGCAAGACATGTGTCAGGTCCTTGTGTTGCAGTGAGTCAGCTGCCCCTACAACTTTCCTAGGGTCACCAGACTTAAAGGGCTCGTGTTGGATTCACATTGGATGCTCCTGACGACTTAGAAGACACGACCCTCAAGGCTCCCTTCAATCCTCCCAGTCTTCAGTTCTTTGAGTGGTATCCCAGATGGGACCCACAGGTGTTCATTGGTCCCTTCCACCTGTTATCAGGTTGGCCCTAACCTGAGTAAGACGTCTCGTGAGAGCATTTCACAAACTCTCTGAGCTGTAACTTCTCAGTCCGAGATCCTTCATTGTTGGTTCATCCTTTCTGGGTTTCTTTCTTTTCTTTTCTTTTTTTTTTTTTTTAAACCAGTTGTCATTGTTCCCCAGCTTGGGGGCAGAGAACTCACTATTTGCCTATCTGAGCCAATCACCATTTCTCTCATCCCCAAAATGTAATTGGAAAGAGCCTTAATGGTTTCCAAATGATGATAGCTCCATTAACCAATTAAAAAGGCCTTAATAAAACTGTCTTGAGTTATTTTCTACAGTGCCGACTGTGCCCTTTGTTTTCTAACGATCCAACAGGAAATAAGGATAATTTTTCTTTCTTGTTTGGTCTGCAACACCAGGAAGACCTTTTTCCATCTGTCTGACTGCTCACCCTGTCTTTTCTTCCCAGACGATCCATGTTGCTATCGTCTGTGCCGGATATAATGCCAGCCGGGATGTCGTCACTTTGGTCAAGTCCGTCCTGTTCCATAGGTAAGAACAACTTCTGTGCTCTGCAGCCTGGTGTGTACCACCGACGGCCTGCATATTTCCTTGGGGAAGAGTTAAATAAGCGGAGAGGTTTTTTTTAATCAATCATTCTAGCTGCCATGGAAATGTAATTTTTGTCTGAAACCCTGGAGAGATTATTGTGTTAACAATATTTAATAGCAGCGATTAGGTGCTGTCTTGCCATGTTTCGAATTGTAGTTCTCAGACCTGAAGGGCCCTTCAGTGATGCCTCGGATTTGATGCTTCAGTTTCTACATGGCTTTTCCTGCCTATCACTAATCAAACCTCTCTTTTTACACATCCCTGTTCATAGGTTGTATTATCGACAGAATTGTGTCTCCCCAAAGTATGTGTGTTGAATCCCTAACACCGAGTACCTCCAATTATGACTGTATTTGGGTATGGGGTCTTTGCAGAGGTAATTACATTAAAATGAGGTCCTGAGGGTAGGTCTTAATCCAGTGTAACTGATGTCCTTTAAAAAAAGGAGATTAAGACACAAACACAGACCGAGGGAAGACCACATGAACACACACTTAGAAGCAGCCCATCTGCACACTGAGGAGAGAAACCTCAAAAAGTCTTGGGCGTCTAGCCTTGAGAATTGTGGGAAAGTACATTTCTATTGCTTAAGCCACCCAGTCTGTGGAATGGCAGCCCTGGCAAACTTGTACAGATTGCTTACTTCTCTTCTAAGGTGGCCTATCCTACCTCTGGGCATTTCTGACTTAAAAAGTCCTGCTTTATATTAAACTGAAATTTCCCAACTTGTAGTTATCTGTGGCTCTAGTGGACCTCCACGGAAGTGATAATTCCTCTGGGGAGCCGTCTTGTCTGCAAGTTAAGTTCCTAT